TGCCCCTCCCCCGTTCATGCTCTGTCTCTCTCTGTCCCAAAAATAAATAAAAACGTTGAAAAAAATTAAAAAATTAAAAAAAAAAGCTCAGATGAGGGGGGCACCTGGGTGGCTCAGTTGGCTAAGTGCCTGACTCTTGATTCTGGCTCAGGTCATGATCTCATGGCTCCTAGGTTCGAGCCCCGCCTCAGGCTCCGTGCTGACAGCATGAAGTCTGCTTGGGATTCTCTCCTTCTGTCTCCACCCCTCCCCCACTCACACACACTTTCTCTCAAAATAAATAGAAACTTAAAAAAAAAAAAAAGAAGTTCAGATGAATCTCAATGAGAATCTCCAGATAAATGAGAATATCTTTGAGGCATAATTCGAGCTGATAATATTGGAGAGTGTCTCTTGGATTCCATCTCGAATGCTTCTCCCTCTAAAACTGATTGGTCTGGGGCTCCTGGGTGGCTCAGTCGGTTAAACAAGTGGCCGACTTCGGCTCAGGTCATAATCTCGCAGTCTGTGAGTTCGAGCCCCGCATCGGGCTCTGTGCTGACAGCTCGGAGCCTGGAGCCTGTTTCAGATTCTGAGAGAGAATCTGAAATCTCTTTCTCTTTGACCCTCCCCCGTTCATGCTCTATCTCTCTCTGTCTCAAAAATAAATAAACGTTAAAAAAATTTTTTTTAAATAAAAATAAAACTGATTGGTCCAAGGTCCAGGAGGGTAGACAACAGATAGACAAATCCATCCCCAATGACAGACCCACGTTGGGAAATATACAGCCCATTCTGTCAGGGCCATTGGATACTACCAACCCTGATCTTTTTTTTTTTTTTTTTTTAACGTTTATTTATTTTTGAGACAGAGAGAGACAGAGCACGAACGGGGGGGAGGGTCAGAGAGAGGGAGACACAGAATCTGAAACAGGCTCCAGGCTCTGAGCTGTCAGCACAGAGCCCGACGCGGGGCTCAAACCCACGGACCGTGAGATCATGACCTGAGCCGAAGTCGGCCTCTTAACCGACTGAGCCACCCAGGCGCCCCCTACCAACCCTGATCTTGATAGAGGTGCTTGTAGGGACTATAAAGAAAAGGGACACCAAATTCGAGGGTTAAGATTTAGTCTCCCCAAGGATCCCCTTCTGACAGGCTTTCTCCGTGTCCATAAATACCCCTCAAGACTTTGGCACATGGCTAGGCCAAGACCTGTAGGCCATAAATAAGAGTCAAACCTGGGTCGCTGCGACTTCCCAATCCGAACACTGTCTCTGCCTCTCTATACCTTCCGGCACCACCCAGCCTACCTTACGAACGCCTCGTCTGTCTACACATTCTTTCCTTTCCCTCTACGTCCAGATTCTCCATCTTTTTGTTCTCACCCGGGAAAGTCCACAATGCACAGGGACAGGAGTGCCTCAAGAGGTCACGGAAACCCCCTCTTCCTTTCCGGGGACCCTGAATGCTCATTTGAGGGGTGTGGTTCCCCTTGCCATACCCACCCCCCCCAAATCCAATATGTGGATGATCCCCCCACTCGGCTCACTCACTGACACTCAACACGTACCCCCCAGAGACACGAGGTGTCTAGGGACGCATTGCCACGACGTTAAGCCACAAGCACCCGACTTCCGCACCCGAAGGCTCACGGTAGCCACAGGAGGAATTTATCCCATCGTTCGTGGCATCTCGACCCAAGACTAAAACGCAACTCCAGTGGTGTCTGAGGCTGTGATGGGTTGAAGTGTGTCCCCTCCCCCGACCCCAGAAAGATAGGTTGAAGTCTTATCCCCCCGTCCGTCAGCATGTAACCTGATTTGGAAATAGAATGGGTTGCAGGCAGATTGGGCCTTGTCTCACGTACCCCTCAAAGACTCCTTCTAACTCACCGCTTGGTTGTGACAGTGACCTCTCCCTACCCCTAGCATCGATGAGTCAGGATTTCTGGGCTCCTTCGCATCCTGCCCCTTCATGGGGCTCAGTCTCAGACCATAACAACCCTAACAGCAGGAACCACCTCCCCACTGCACTCACCCAGATTTTCCAGCTATCAAAACGCTACCGACCCCGAGTCAACCGGGGCCACTCATAATTTCTCTTGGCAACAAGCGGCATCACCCCTCCTGTGACTCATTTCATGGCCCCGGTCCCGTCCCTACATCTTCTCCTTGGTGTCCCAGCTTCAATCAGCATTTATTGGCTGAGCCCCTCAGCTAAATGAGACAATTATTTCCATGAGTCTTGGATTGCCCCCCGTGAGGCGCGCCTTGTGTGTGAGGATTTTGCAGACTGGTACCTACCTACCAGCCCGACTGGCGTCTGTTATCTTGCCAATCCTGTGAGTCCTTTTCAGAGTTTCGATCCCCCTTCAGTCTATTCATGTCTAACCTTCATTCTTTCTTCTCTCCACCCCTCACCGAATTCCCCACAAATGTAGGAGACCAGCCACATCCTGCGAAGGCTGAAAGTCGCCCTACAGACACAGGGTCTAGGATGACTGCGACCCCCTTTCTCATTAGCATCAGAGGAGTCAAATGCTTAGCAGTAAGCCCCGAGGATTTAATAGGGCCTCCACCCATGTTTGGGCAACTTTTGCGCCCAGGTCCGGGGCTTCCGAGGGAGGGCCTTGTATGTTACAGTTGGAAGTTTCTGCTGCATGTTCATTTCCAGGGACTCCTCAGACATCTCATCGTCAATGGGAACATCAAGAGGCCAACGAGGTGGGGACGCCTGGGTGGCTCCGTTGGTTGAGCATCTGACTCTTGATTTCAGCTCAACTCATGATCTCATGGTTCATGAGATCGAGCCCTGGGTCGGGCTCTACGTTGATAGTGCGGAGCCTGATTGGGATTCTCTCTCTCTCTCCCTCTCTCTCTCTCTCTCTCTTTCTCTGCCCCTCCTTTACCTACACGTGCATGCCCCCTGCTCTCTAGATAAACAGACTTAAAAAGGTGGAGGGGCAATGAGTTATCTGCAGAATTGTGACCCCTGTTCTGACTCCATCAACCAAGGATCTCTCTGTACCTCCTTCTTGCAACCTTGTCAACTGGCTGCCCTCGGGCCTCAAATCTTGGTTTTACCCCCTTATTCAACCATTAACAATTCTCTTTTTTATTTATTTTCCTAGGAATACCCATCTTTGAATGCCCAGTGACCAAATCCTAAATCAGTTTCAGATCCAGCATTTTATGCAAGAAATGGTTCAACTGGCTTTGCACAAACAGCAGAGATGGAAAACCAATCCTGACATCACCCCAGACACTAACTACTGAGAAAATCTTGTTTGCGACTGAGCTCCCTAGATCCACCTATCATGAATCTCGATCATCTCCCCACTGTTGGAAAATTAAGGCAGTTAAAGGACAGTCTAGGTCTGTCTTAAACAAGAGGGGGATTGACTATAGTTTGTCTCTACTGAAGTCCAAGCTCACTGGGACTCACGAGATTATTTCGTACTTATTTATCAGACCCTTCTGTGGCTCTTTCTACATAGAAGGCTCTAGACAAATATCTCGCTCAATCCTCAGAATGACTCTATCTGGTAGATAATGTTATGACCCCCATCATACAGATGAGGAGACCGAGGCACAGATGTTAACCAAGTTTCTCAAAGTCACACAGCTAGAAAGGGGCAGGGCTGGGGCTCACACGCCCTTCCCCTCCCCCTAGTCTGGTTCCAGAATCTTAGCTCTCAAGAGTACCACCGCCTCTCCAGCTTACGACCAGAATGCATTCTGGTGCAGGAGGGTCCTAGAAGAGGGAGGTTCTCATATGGTCTTCTGGGCCCTGGCCTTTAGGGAGTCAAGGTCTGTCTGAGAAATGGGTATGAACACTGGAGCTAGATCTTGAAGGTTGTAGGGGGACACACTCGGCGTAGTGACACAGGCTGGCCGCCTGAGGGGGCGCCAGCCCGGCTCGCGGAGCCAGGGGAGCCAGAGGGAACCTTGGAAACCAAAGTCAGGCTCAGACTCTTAGGACCACAGAACGTCGAGAACAGAGCATCTTAGAATACTGAGAACAAAGCCTCTCAGAACGTAGAACAAAGGCTCCTGGAGTCGTAGAATGGTGAACGCAATATCCCATACGATCTGGGAGACAAAAGACGCTTAGATTCTGTTCTGGTCGAATTATAGAATCTTCCACCCAGGCTGGTCTTCTAATTCCAGAATTTGGGATGTCATCGATCTCAGACTCTTAGTTAGAAGTTAAGACTGTCTACATAATTTGGGAAGCCTGCTGCAAGATGAAAATGCGGAGCCCCTTGTTCAAAAAATAAGAATTTCAAGACAGGAACAGCCGAATATTAAACCAAGCACAGGGCCCTCCTAAGCTGGTCACACGCCGGTGAAGCCGGTCCCGCTTAGAAGCATCATTTTATGGGAGGATGCCGGTCTTAGCCAGCCTGGTCCTCTGGTTATACAGCTGAGTGTCTGGGAAGGCTTCGTGGAAGAGGAGGCAAAATCAGGGCTCGACTCAATAACCCTCTCCGCCCCCTGCACAGCCTCAGCAGCTTAGGGTTGCTAGGGGTGGGGGGGAGAGGAACAGCTGCCAAACTGTCACGTGGACCCATTCCCTATTTATAGATCACCCCTTCCCCTCTCGCGGGACAGTCCAATGGTAGCCTGAGCTCGCCCGCAAGGGGGCGGAACCAGCTGCGGGACCCGGGAGGCACGGACCAATGACATTGAAGCAAGGGCGGACTTGTTTCATTGTGACGCGAGAGGGGGCGTGACCAGGCCCCAAAGGCTGGCAAGCGGTGGGGCGTGGCGAGGCCGCCCAGAAGCAAAGCGAGTAGGAAGCTGCGAGCATGCGTCGCGTCGGGGGGCGCGGGTGCACCGCCGAGCAGCTTCGTAAAGGAGGGTAGCAGCCAATAGGCGACGGTTGCTCTGTCGCCGGGGGCGTGGCCATGCAGATAAGGCGCGGGTGGGCGGCCCAATGGGCGGGCGCCTATGCAGATGAGACGGTGACAGCCGGGCCAGCGGGCGGGCGGGCAGGCGGGCTGTTGGGGCGGGGAGGTGGGACCCGGAGAGGGGTGGCCGTGGGGCCCGGCCGGGCTGGGGTGGGGGGCCGCAGCCATGATCCGGGCCTTCTCGTTCCCGGTGAGCCCCGAGCGGGGCCGGCTGCGGGGCTGGCTGGAGGGCAGCCTGGCCGGGCTCTGCGAGTTGCACTGGCTCCGGGAGAGGCAGGAGTACCGCGTGCAGCAGGCGCTGCGGCTGGCCCAGCCCGGAATGGGGGGCGCCGAGGCCGAGGACGAGGAGGACGCCGATGAGGACGAAGATGCGGCGGCGGCGCGCCGGGCCGCAGCGGCCCTGGAGGAGCAGCTGGTGAGGGGCCGCCTGTCCGTCCATCCCTCCGCCCCCGTGTGTGTCTATCTGTCTGTCTGTCTCGGTTGGATGCTCAGACACCCGTTGCGGTGGGGGAGGGGGAGAGGACAGGGGGTGGGGCTGGAGACCCAGGAGTATGGGCGGCGGGCGGGATCTGGCCTCCTCAACCCCAAACTGGGGAAGGTGGTGGGGGTGGGGGGACTGCATCGCCTCCGCTGGGGCCTCGTGAAATGCACAGACCCTCTCCCCAAAGAAAATTCTTCTAGGCGCTAAGTATGTGTCAAGCCTGGGCCGAGTATTTGGTATGCGTTGTCTTCTTGAAGCTTGGGGGAGAGGAGGGTGATAGTCCTCATTCTGCAGAGAAAGAAGCTGAGGTTCAGAGATGGCAAGTGACTCACCCAAGGTCACACAGCCGGGATCCAAACATGCCCCGCTCTGGCCCCGCTACCAGGGCTCCATCTTCCCTAGGTCCCGATGTGCTTGGAGATCTCCGGAGGGGGCGGGGTGGGGGGGGAGGGGATCCTCGGGCCTCCGGAGGGAGGGGACCACTGCTGAGAGGAAGCTTGCAGTCCCTGAGGACCCCGCGGTCATCTTTACTCTCTGGTGACACTTTCCCTCCTTTCCTACCTGGTCCCAGCCTTGGTTAACCCCAGAAGAGGCAGGTTGAGGCAGCGTGGGGGCCCGACTTCTGAACTCCCCGAGTGCTCTCATGGTGGAAAACGAGGCAGAGGTCTCCAGAAGGACTTAAGGAGCACCACCCCTCTCTCCTTCTCTGTCATTTGTTCATTCTCCTGACCTCTTCCTGGATTCCCCTCACTCTGTCTCCCTATTGCCACATCCCTGTGACTTTCAGTGTCTGTTTCTATCTTTCTTAACCCCCTGTGTCTATCTCTGTCTCCCCAGGCTTCCCTTGCATTTCTGCACCTCTCTGTTCCGGCCCCAAGTCCCTGTCCCCACCTCTCTCTTCCCCTCCCCCCCCCCCGCAGCCTGCCAGGCCCCAGACCCTGGCTCTCCCCTTGCAGATCACATCCCCAAGCCTGTGTGTGGTCAGAGCTTCCCGTTTGGGGAAACCTGAGCCGGGGTGGCGGGGGAGGGGGCTCTCCCTGCTGCTGACCTCCATTGCCCCCGCCCCAGATGGGGAATGGGGAGGGGGTCTGCAGCCAGACTCCGGGGCTGCACGCACAGCCCCTCCCCCGACTGGGAGCGGGACCCTGCACATTCTTCTCTGGAAACAGAAACAGCTGTGGGAGGCCCCACCCCCTCCCAAAGTTGGAGACGCCTTGTGGGGGCCTTCACCCCGCTCCCCCCCCCCCCACCCTAAGCTGGCTGGGCTTGGGAAGGCACCTCCCACCCTACGAGGAGAGGGAGAAAGCACGGGGATGGGCAGGCTGTGTCCTTCCTTCCTGTCCCTCAGTCTCGCCCTCTCTCTGCCTCAGTCTCCTCTCTCTGTCCTTCAGCTTCCCCATCCCTGCCCCTAAGTCTCCCCCCTTCTCCGCCCCTCTGCCTAACCACCCCCCCCCCCCCGAGGTGGTAGTGGAGAGGCCTCTTTCCCCCACACTCTCCAAGCAAAGCTCCGTCCCAGCGTCAGGGAGGAGGCGGTGGCAGGCAGCGGGAGAGAGACAGCGGCACCGAGGGAGGAACAGAGAAACGCTAAATATAAACTCCTCTGCCGTTGGGGGTTCCTGGGTCCTTCTGAGGAGGGTGTGGGTACCTCCTCTGATCCCTGAGCCTCTGTCTTAGGATACTTCCCCCTCCCACCCCCCCTTATGCCCCCCTCCCCTGCCCCAGGAATACACTCCCTTTGAAGCAACAGAGATTGAAGCCAGACTTGATTAGTTTCTAATAGGAATGGTGGGGGGTGCAGGTGAAGACGAGGGATATTCAGAGAAAAGAGGCAAGACTCCTGGATGGGGGTGGGGTGGGGGTTCTGTTCTCTCCCACCAAGAGAAAGGGTCCCCTTCCAGCAAGAAGGACTTAAGTTAGACTTGCAGAAGGACTTCCTAATAGAGATGAAGGGAATTGGACGAGCAGTGGGGGGTGGGGTGGGGACAAAGGTCTGGAAACGCTTGGGCAAAGGGGTCTCCAGGGGTCGTAACCCCATGCATGTTAACCCTCCCTGGATGGCGGACGGTCCCCTGGCAGAAGGGTTTGCAAAAAAAAAAAAAAAAAAAAAAAGGATGAGGGGCATTGTGGGTACACAGGGAGCTAGATTCAGGCCAACATCCTTCTGGTCTTTTAAAGAGTTATCATTGCTTCACACCTGGAAGGGATGGGGATCAAACTTACAAACAGTGAGAGTGTGTAGACTAGGGTGGTGTTGGAGGGTCCAGGTGCGGGGGAAGGGGAGGCCTCTCCTGTCTGTCCCCCTTAACTCCTTCTGGGAACCGACATGGCACAGGCAGAACTTCACCACCAACCCCCCCCCCCCCCCCCCCAAATCGATCCTTGTTGAGACACTCAGCACTTTGGGGGCGCCTGGGTGGCTCAGTGGGTTGAGCGCCCGACCTCGGCCCAGGTCACGATCTCCAGGTTCGTGAGTTCGAGCCTCGCGTCGGGCTCTGTGCTGACCGGCTCAGAGCCTGGAGCCTGCTTTGGATTGTGTCTGTCTCCCTCTCTGTCTGCCCCTCCCCTGCTCGTGCTCTCTCTCTCTCTCTCTCTCTCTCTCTCTCTCTCTCTCTCAAAAATAAGTAAATAGTAAAAAAAGAAAAAGAAATTCAGAGCTTTCGTGTAATAATCAAAGCTAGCATTTATTAAGAGCTTAAAAGAAACTGCTATTTTAGTTCATTTAATCCTTATGACACCCCATAAGAGAGGGAGTTGAATGCCATGTTGCAGAGGAGGAAACCAGGGCCCAGAGAGGGGAAGTAACTTGTTCCAGGTCTCCTCGGAATCGACACTGTTGTCACCTTGGTGTGAGTCCCTCCAGACGTCTTCCACAGCTTACATACCAAGAAGTGTAGTGTAGTGTTTTGCTTTGCTTTTTAATTTTTATTGTATTAAAAAAATTTTTTTAAATTTATTTACAGAGAGAGAGCGTGCGCGTATGGGTTAGGGGCAGAGAGAGAAAGAGAAAGAATCTCAAGCCGGCTCCGTGCTGTCAGCCGGAGAGCCCGACACAGGGCTCGAACTCACAAACCGTAAGATCATGACCTGGGCCAAGATCAAGAGTCGGATGCTTAACCGACTGAGCCACCCAGGCGCCCGATGCTTTGCTTTCTCACAAATTCCGGTCTCTTGGGTGAGGTCCTTGGGGGGACAAAGCCAGTGGTTCTCAAGGTGTGGCCGCTGGACTAGCAGGATGGGGGGGGGGGGACTGGCAAGATATGCAAATGAGGCTCCAGCCTGGAAGCTCTGGAAGCTCTGGAGGCGGGACCCAGTAATTTAGGCGCGAACAATGCCCTTCGGGTAATTCTGACTCACGCTGGTGCTATGCCCTTTCTTTTCCATCTGGAAGCTTTATGTGAGTGATGCCTGTATACACATATGGCCTCCTTCCGTTTTGACAGCTGCATAGTATTCTGCTGTATACGCTCATCCCTTCAGCAAACGTCTCCTGAGCGCCTACTCTGTGCCAGGCACTGTGCTATGCACTGGGCTTGGGGTGGGTGTGTGTGTGTGGGGGGGAAGTGGGGGAAGGACGCTGCGGCCAACAAAGCAGACAAAACGCTCTGCCTTCCAGGAACGACATTTAGTGAGCAGACAAAAAACAAATGACAACCCAATGTATCATTCTGAGCCAGGAGGTCATGTGGGGGTGGGGGTGGGGAATGAAAGCAGGGCAACAGGGTGCAGAATGACTGGGGAGCTATTTTGGAAAGACTGGTCAGAGGAGGGATCATGTAAAGCGAAGGTCTGAACCGAGCAAGGGAGGGAGCCAGGGGGAAATTCAGGGGAAACGCATCTTACAGAGGTAGGAGCTGGCCAGGCGCAAGGCGTGCTGGGGGGGGGGGGGGGGG